TTCAAATGGTTAACAAACTGCAACAAGGTTGATTTCTTCCTTTTTCTCTGCTGACTCTTGTGTGGTTGGCTGGAGTAAATTAACCCAGGAAATCTTCGTGGGTGTGACTTCACAGCAGTTCTATTTGCATTTTTCCTGCTGTGTAGTTGCATCCTAACACAATACATCAGCAATGCATTTAAAGGGCTTTTTAAAGTAAGCCTTTTCAAAGCATGCTGATACAGTAACAACTAAAAAGAAATGGAAAACTACCTCTCCCTTCCCCTCCACAGGCGAATAGGAAGAAAGCTTTCTATTTCTCAGAATTGTTAAATGGCTTTAGCAAAGGGTCAGCTTAAGCCATCCACTTTGGTTTGATCCCAAAGATCATACACATTGGAACCAAACCAAAATGGAGCAATACTACACCCAAAAACAAACAAACAGGAACCCACAAAAGATCTGGTAGGCACTGAATCCAAAAACAAACAAACAAACGGGAACCCACAAAAGATCTGGTAGGCACTGATCAGGATGGGCTGGTTTACAACAGTACATATGTCATGTGATCATTGGGAAAAGGAGTGAATCAGCCTGTCCCCAACCTGGACTAAACCTTTGGATAAACACCTATCTTGTTCACACCCTAAGTTGAATAGCCACTAATAAAGGAAGAAAATATTTAATCAAGAAACAAAAAGAACTGAAAGTTGAAAATTATATTCAAATAAATGAATAAGAGGAGGCGGTTAAAAGCCAAACAGAAAATTAGGTCCTCTGGATTGCAATCAGGATAGCTAAAGACATTCTGACCAAAATGAGAGGACCTGCCAGAGACAGCTAGTTAAACATGACATAAAAAGTCAGGTCTGATAGTTTGCTCATAAATCTGCTAAAGCAGTGGCCTCCAACCCTGGGCCTCCAGATGTTCTTGGAGTATAACCCCCAGAAGCCTTCACCACCACCTCCACTGGCCAGGATTTCTGGGAGTTGGAAGTCCAAGAACATCTGCAGGACCAAAGTTGAGGACCGCTGTGTTAAAGGAAAGGAATTAAAACCAAAGCTGGGGACCGCTGTGTTAAAGGAAAGGAATTAAAGTCACAAACTCACAGCTGTTGGGCCAGAACTTCTAGTACTTGATTATTTTAATTGGTAATGCCAGAGATTGGTCTGGGACCTTTGCTGTGTGTACTGGGTTGTAAATTTCCTACATAAAACATTCTTTTACATGTCCATTCATGCCATGTCACCAGCTTAAAGGGGGACATGTGCACAGAAAGAAATTGCACATCACACCCTCAACTTACAAACCTATTGTTTTAAGAGTAATTTATTTTATCAAGTGCAAGAATAGGTTATACCTTTATAGATTGCTAATGAAAATTAAAAAAATGTACACAATATGAGTTTTTATGGGGAAAATCCATGAAATATCACAGAGAAGTGGCTATAAAGATATTGTCTATTTTTGCATTTGCATTTTGTAATGCCACACAGCACCCCCCCCCCCTTTATTTTATCAAGGTGATATGCTGATCTGCGTGGAGAAGGGGTTTGTGCTACTCAGAACATATGAATTTCTGGAGGTGGTGGCTATTACCTTCCATTCCTCCCTGCCAGGTTCAATGTAATTAAACAGATATATCTGTCTTAAGTCACTTCACTATATGGGACTTGGCATTGCCAGGTTCAATGTATCTGTCTTGTTAAGTCACTTCACTATATGGGACTTGGCACATGGGAATATATATAATAAAACCTTTGGAGTGCCCAGGTCATGGTATACCCTGTACTATAGGAGGGAGAGAACTGGTAATCTCTGCAGTGCCACATCTCAAAGGACTACACCCAGGTGAACTCATGGGGATCCCTGTGTAATCATGTCTGCAGATTTATTATCTGCATCTGGCTCATACATCTGTACAATAAATCTTCTAAGCACCCATGGTTTTTCTGCCTTTTTTGGGACTCAAAGAAGGGTCCCAAACCGTCCACTAGCATACTGTGCAAAATGAGGTCTCTGTCTGCTCAGGGCACATTCACAATCAATACTTTCCACTCAAATTGACATTAATGTGTGAACATTAATAAAGAATCGCTCTAGTTCAATGGGCAGAATGGAGCACAGACTAAAAGCTTGGAAAAAGTTACTTTTCTAGACTACAGTTCCGAAATCCTTCAGCTAGACTAAAGTTCCCAGGCTTTAAACCAGTATTTCCATCCTCCGTTTGGCTATGAAGCCTACTTGGACTACTAGCCCTCTAACATAGCAGTTGTAAGGATAAAATGGTGTAGATCTTCCTTTATATTACACTGATCTCCTTAGAATAAATATAGGTTCAAGTTCAAAACTCCGACCAGATACCTAACTCAGTGAGTTAGGTATCTGGCTGTGGGGGGGACAGGTTGGGAGTTCAATTCCCTACTGTGTCTCCAGAGAGAAGAGTCAGCTTGTCTAGCCTTGGGAAAGCTGCATGTTTCCAGGGTGCCTTGAGAAGGGAATGGAAAACTACTTCTGAATATTCTCTACCTGAAAAAGGGTTATCATAAGTCAAAATTAATGATAATTATTTTGATTATGATTATTATTCAAAAACACAGGCAATCAAAATTATAAAAACATAGGTACTTCTGAATATTCTCTACCTGGAAAAGGGTTATCATAAGTCAAAATTAACGATAATTATTTTGATTATGATTATCATTCAAAAACACAGGCAATCAATCAAAATTATAAAAACATTGACTGGTATCATATAACAGATACTTTAAACAACAACCTAAGTATATATTAAATACTGGCTCAATATACAGTATATGCTGTTTCTAATACAGTATTGCCTTTTTTGTAACTCTGAGAGTGTTATTTCTGAGATCTGCAACTGCTTATATTGTGTGAAATTTCTTGATATTGTTCCCAAAGTCCCAATGGCTATGGGGACAACATATATATATGTGTGTGTATTTCATTCACAAGTGAGGTGTTTTGATTGTCAGGTCTCTGTATTTTGTTAGTTTTTCCAATTCTTTATTTTCAACTCTAGCATCTCCCAGAATCACAATGACAATGATCCAGACATTTCTTCGTTCTATTACTACTATATCTGGTGTGTTATGTTTAAGGTGGCTATCAGTTTGGATCTGGAAATCTCACAAGATATTGACTTCATCATTTTTACTTCTGAATATTCTCTACCTGGAAAAGGGTTATCATAAGTCAAAATTAACGATAATTATTTTGATTATGATTATCATTCAAAAACACAGGCAATCAATCAAAATTATAAAAACATTGACTGGTACCATTTGTTCGTTCTACCACTAATATGTCTGGTGTGTTATGTTCAATGTGTCCATCAGTTTGGATCCGGAAATCGCACAGGATCTTATTGTCTTTGTGGAATCCCATAGAAAAAAAGGACCCAGTGTGGTATAGTTGACAGAATGCTGTGAATGGACCACAGAGGTTTGATTTTAATCTCTGCCTACTGCACAATGTTTCTGATCCTGTATAAATACGACCGTTTATATACTCTAATGTCTGAGGGAGCGGACATCAGTTTGGATCCGGAAATCGCACAGGATCTTATTGTCTTTGTGGAATCCCATAGAAAAAAAGGACCCAGTGTGGTATAGTTGACAGAATGCTGTGAATGGACCACAGAGGTTTGATTTTAATCTCTGCCTACTGCACAATGTTTCTGATCCTGTATAAATACGACCGTTTATATACTCTAATGTCTGAGGGAGCGGACTTGATCCACAAAGCTCACATTAAAATATACCAGTTTATTTTGAAGATGCCAAGACGTTTGTCTCTTGCTGTTCTTTTCAATTCCTCCCCACCACCACCGAAAATGTCACTTCTCAGGGTGAGCAGAAGCAAAGCTACCCAGAAACTCCCTGATACATAGGAAGTCGAATAGCCAGCCAGCCATCTCCGGATTACATCATAGGTTCTCCTCAGGCGCGCCAAGGGAAGCGCTTGGGCGGCGCTGCGAACGTTTCTCAGCACTGTCGACAATTTGAAGAGGAGCCCTCAGCCGCCTCTTCGGCCGTCGCTCCTCCTTCCCCCTTCCCTCTCAAGCGAGTCTGATAAGGCGAGGAGGGTTTCGCCCATTATTGGGTTAATGCTCGCTCGCTCTCCCCTCCCTTCCCTTCCCTCAGCGTCCTATTATTTCTGCGCGCGTGCCGAGGCTGTGTCTGAAGGAAAGGAGGGGAGGGGAGTGGGGGCGAGAGGAGACTGAGGGAAAGTTAAGGGCCACCTCACACTTGTTCCCGCTTCCGTTGCCTGTGCCAAAGAGACGCCGGGGCCTTCGCGTCTTGGTTCTCCCTAAAAGGGACGGCGGGGGAGGGAGGTGGACACGGCACATGGGAAGCGGGTAGGAGTCCGAGGCGGCAGCAGCAGCAGCAGCAGGAGCCGCCGCGCCAACAGAAAAGGCAGACAGACGAAAGCGGCGGTGCCTCTGTCGGTGTGGATGGTGGTGCTCGAAGTTCCTCTTTCAGCCGAGCTGCTGCCGCTGCCCGCCCGAGCCCGCGTGTCATAGCAGCGCCCAGTAAGGGCGAGAGAGCAGGGGGAGGAAAATCCCAGCCAGCCGAATTTGGCACCGGAGAGAGGTGGGGGGGAGGAGGAGAGGGCGGCGAGGAGGAGAAGAAGACATGCCAGCTCCCGTGATTTGTGGCGCCTGCTGAGGGGAAGGGACTCCACCGAAATCCTGTCAGCCCCTGTGAGGGACGGTAGCCACCCACACACTCCCGGCTGCCCGAGCTGCGAAGGCGTCGCCAACGCCGTCGTCTGAACGACCAGCCCCTTGTCCCGGTTCCTTTCTCCTTTGGTTCGTCTTCCCCACACGGTCGGTCGGTCGGACTCT